TTCGTATCAGTAGTACTGCTAACTGTCCAAAAGGCCTTATCTTTTATTAAGAGTAAAGATCGCAAGAAAGAGTTCGGTTTTGGGGGTAGTTCGTATCAGTAGTACTGCTAACTGTCCAAAAGGCCCTATCTTTTATTAAGAGTAAAGATCGCAAGAAAGAGTTCGGTTTTTTGTGGAATAAGCTAAAAGAAATATTTGCTGGATTCTAAGAATTAAAACAAAGATTAGAAGTAAAAGAAAACTAGTAAAAAAGTGTGCGAGAATATGCGTATGTATGTGCGTGTTCTTGTGTGCGTATTGGGAGAGGGGGGGGGGGAGCTTTAGTAAGGACTACTTTCAAATTCATTTCACAGATAAAGCCCAGAGAGATAGGGATGACGTCGGCAATCGCATATAAATTTTCACGTACTTTTTAAAGTTTTCGGTGTGTAAATTATCTATTTCTTTTCAGGAAATTGAAATCGTCTTAAAAGTTCACCCTGCCTGTCTTGTCTGGACGCCATATAATGTTAGACTCAAGTTTCATTGCCATCGTATTCATGGTATGGTGGAATTTTTACAATAAATAAAAACCAAGGAAATAAAACAATATCACTGTTGAGATTTGAAAACAGACGAGGACACCAACTGTAATATTCACGCAACCCATTACTGTGAATCATTGAGAAAGGGGAGTAACCATTAAATAATGAGTGTCAAACCTTGGTGCCCTCCCTTCACGGTATATACATAAAAAGAAAGAAGAAAAGTCCCGTTATGAAGCTTAAGGGCAACCTCACAATTTTGACAATTCAACAAAAACAAACAAACAAACAAACAAACAACAAATTAGATATGCTTGTAGGCGAAGGGAAATGTTTGTATCAAAGACAAAGAATAATAATTATTATGAAAACTTTTGAAACATTGAGGAAAACAGTCACGTATACTTATATATCGCATAAAATTATGTTTTGGAGAGAAACCCATTTTAGAAGAAAAAAACAAGCTCATCGGCACAGTAACGGTCTTTGAAGGCTAGGAAAAATCAAAACAAGCAGACTGATGAAGTCGGGGGAAAGTAAAAGATTGGAGCTAACAGTATCACACTCCAACCACAAGCAAGTAATCAAAATCTCCTAGAGACTGCATTTATACATACTGACTCTCGAACCTTAATGTGTAAATAATCTTATACATATATAATAGCCATGGACAAGTAGTAAAGATCAGAGGCACCCAAATACGCCCGTTAGAATAACAACAAATCGAGGTTAATTGGGAAGTGAGGATAGTAGTCATAGAGCAATAACTACATCGACATCGGAGAGAAAAAGGTCAAATATACGACCATCCATAGTGCAGACAGCGGAAAGTAGAAAATGAAAACTGTACGAACTATTCTTAAAATACATAACAGTTAATATTTTAATTTTTCTTCATGTGTGTGTGTGTGTGT